AATTATAATTATAATTATAAATTATCTATATATATTTTTTTGTACGCGATTATGTACACTGAGGGGGTGAAGGTGTGGATGCTGGTGTAGATTATACGGTAATATAATTTACACTCTACTTTAGTACAGTTGACAGTACAATAAAATACTGCTGGTGTACAGCTTATACGGGAATATAATGTACACTGTACATAAGTACAGTTGACAGTACAGTAAAATACTACTGGTATACAGCTTATACGGTTATATAGTGTACACTGGACATTAGTACTGTTGACAGTACAATAAAATACTACTGGTGTACAGGGTCAGAGCGAGGAGGTGTGGGCGCTGGCCTGTCACCCTCAGGAGCCGCAGTTCCTGACGGGAGGATACGACAGATCCTGCGTCCTGTGGGACTCCCTCTCACACACGCAAGTCTGGAGCTCCTGCTTCACCGTGAGCCTTCTGGGACTCAGCATCTAGTTCTGTATCTAGGATCTAGGGCTATATATTGCGCGTAGGGCTATGTCTGGGACCTAGGGCTGTGTCTGGGACCTAGGGTTGTATTTGGAACCTAGGGTTGGATCTGGAACTTAGGGTTGTATCTGGAACCTAGGGTTGTATCTGGAACCTAGGGTTGTATCTGGAACCTAGCTAGGGTTGTATTTGGAACCTAGGGTTGTATCTGGAACCTAGGGTTGTATCTGGAACCTAGCTAGGGTTGTATTTGGAACCTAGGGTTGTATCTGGAACCTAGCTAGGGTTGTATTTGGAACCTAGGGTTGTATCTGGGACNATGCATCTGTCTCTTATACACATCTAGATGTGTATAAGAGACAGGCCCATACAGGTGAGGCACTGCCGGTACACAGCCCATACAGGTGAGTAAGGGACGGCACACAGCCTATACAGCCAGGGATCACTCAAAGAGAGTTATTCCTCTCTTTGAGTACTGCTGCCAGCTTTGGACCCCCGTTCGCTGTGAGCGCAGTGCGGCAATTAGCGGTTCCGCGAACTTTCACGTCCAAGGTAAGCGGGATGGAGATGCTGAATTTTTGGGGAGGCTGGAGCGCCTGGGTCTGTACTCACTGCAAAGTACAAGGGATAGGTTTGCATTCTGTACACATGAAAAACAATAACCGGACTGACTCATAACTTCGAAAACGAGACATTCAAGAATGAAACCTACCATTACGAGAGAAGGGTGGAGGGAAACTGTGCAGGCTATCCAAACTACGCAACACATTTGCGGTCAGAATTCAAACCTCAGCTGTAATGATCCCTTTCCTTAGCCGACCCGAGGTTGTTTAACGTCTTGCTAGAGGATCAAAGAGAGGGGGACTTCACCCTGGAGACCTTCAAGAGAAGACTGGACGTGTTTTGGGCACAATCCCTGATCGTCCGCCCCTGCCCCACTGGCAGCGGCGGGAAGCAAGCAACAACATCGTGCATGAGCTGATGCCCAACTGAGGACCTCAGCTGTCCCAACTGAGGACATCAGGTGGCCCAACTGAAGACACCAGCTGGTCCAACTGAGGGCAGATGGGCGGTATTTATGGACCAGACCCTTGAGACTATGCCAGTCAGGACCTGCCGAAGGCCGGGCGACGAAATACTGAGGCTGCACTCCTGCGTGGCCTGGGACTATCACGTCCGGAACGCATACTGAGTATTGAAGAGCGTGTCTAGTATGGGCGGCACACTCCAAGTGCGGGCGGGGTTCCCACTAACACGATTACCTCCTTCCCACAGGAGGAGGTAATATAAACTTTTGTGTCCAGAGATAAAGAGATAAACAATAAAGTATATGAGGTATATAAATATGCAGGATTATAAGGCGATTATAAAGATGCAGGATTATAAGACGATTATAGACATGCAAGATTATAAACATGCAGGATTATAAGGTGATTATAAACCTGCAGGAAGGTATATAAAGTTTAGTGTGCAGATATTGCAATAGGCCGACCTCCTCCTCCTCCCCCACAGGTGCTGAAGTTCTCCCCCGACGGGCAGTACCTGGCGGTGGGGTCGCGTGACGGGAGCATCTACGTCTACCAGGTCATGGACGATCTCACGCGCTTCGCCAGGCTCGGCAAGTGTCAGGTCAGCATTCATTTAATATTGTACTTGCTTTACTTTAAATACACTTAAAGATACACTTATTACTTTAAACACACTTATTACTTTAAATACACTTATTACTTTAAATACATTTATTACTTTAAATGAACTTATAATGAACTAATTACTATACATAGATTGAAAGAACTAATGAACTTATTACTTTGAATGAACTAATAATGAACTAATTACTTTAAATACACTGAAACACCGCGAACTTTAGAATTTGCAAGCAGCAATAGCGGTGTAACTTACAATTGACTCTAAATCTCCACCTTGGCGCTACACGCTACAACATATGTCCGTAGCTTTGTAACCTGTAACCATGACAGCTACAATGTAGGACTGCAGCGCTCAGTGTAGCGCTGTAGGTACTGTAGCGCTAACTAGGCGTTGTGCTGTAGGTACTGTAGCGCTAACTAGGCGTTGTGCTGTAGGTACTGTAGCGCTAACTAGGCGTTGTATTGTAGGTACTGTAGCGCTAACTAGGCGTTGTGTTGTAGGTACTGTAGCGCTGTGTGACCAACTATAGGTAACTTTATATGACTAACTGCAGCTGTAACACGCAATAATACAATTATCATTTAACTGTAACCATGCAAACGCTGCAGCCGCGCAGGAAGCGCTTCAATTCTGCTCAGGCAGCCAGCAAGACGGTGAGCTGATAGTACTGCACCTAATATATAATAATAATATTAATATAATATGGTAGGTCGCTATTTGTTTCATTGCTGTGTAATATAGTTGAATTTTGAAGTTTTTTCTTTTGGGATATTCCCTTCATTTCTTTCCCTTGTTACTGCAATCAAAATTTTAATGGGGAAATATAGTATTATACTCATTTTGTGCATCTGCTGCTTGAGCGCTGAGGTTTCATTATAATGTATAATTCGTAGAACAAACAAAACTACGAAGTAAGCACCAAATAATGCATCCATTTATTCGTTGTATTTGAAAACTTAGAAAATTTTTTTAAGTTACCTTGATTGTTTTTAATGGGTGACAGTCATACGACGTCAAATAGTTTATAAAACATAATAAGCTTGTACAATAAGTGAACAATGAACGATACATTCCTGAGAGCACGCAAGCTTGAACGAAAATTAGTGGGTATTAATCGTGAGAAGCACGAATTACGTAGAGCGTTATTGAAGGCTACGTAGAGCGTTGTTGAAGGCTGCGTAGAGCGTTATTGAAGGCTGCGTAGAGCGTTATTGAAGGCTACGTAGAGCGTTGTTGAAGGCTGCGTAGAGCGTTGTTGAAGGCCTTGCAAGATGATTACGGCTCCTTCTATATGAAGTCCTTAAACTCGGTCGCATTAAATTCGGGATAAGATCCATTTGTTCTTATGTTTTGCATAATATTATTATGTATAATATCTTAACAAACTGCAATGTTTCGGAAGGGCAAGCGTTAACATGGCTTCTATTATTCCTATTTTGAGTAGCAGCTGCGGTGTATATGCAGTAGCGCACCTTCTAATGTCTTAATAATGCACATGTTTGCTGTAGCACCTGCTGCGTGCACTAGTGCATCTGCTATAATCACTAGTCATGTCTAGACCACTTTACTGCCTCACTCTATTTATAGCCATTACCACATCAAAAAGCATAATTTTGACAGGAATCATCCGGTGTTGTGAATAATCCTATCGTCATACAGTGCTATAGACAATTTTGTTATCAAAAAATGCTGTGGATAATCTCCTATAGAGTCACGCAGTGTTGTGGACATCTGTAATGAAAGTATAACCTGTGGATAATAATCCAAATGACCTGAAATTAATGTGAGTATTGACGCTGTGTTCGCAGGGCCACAGCAGTGCTGTGCTGCACCTTGACTGGTCAGTGGACAGTCAATACCTGCAGTCAAACTCTACGGACTACGACCTCCTCTTCTGTGAGTCTTGGGGGCTTGTCATGGTCCGGGGGGTTATACCACAACGCCGGGCATGTCCCAGTACATTATTCTTTAATGCATTTCTATAGAATCATTAATACCAGCCGTGCGAGGCACTTGTTATGCCTTTGGTGTGAATGCTTACACGGAAATACATTAAAGAATATTAGAATGGACCGTGACTTGCGGTGTGGTGTTATCTTCCTCCTGAACCAACTTAATTATGCGCTCTGCGCCTTTATTTGATTATTGATGTATATTCCCTATCTCTTGTTATATGTCATCTGCCATCAGAAGGTGGGTTAACTGCCACCAGAAGGTGAGTCAACTGCCACCAGAAGGTGGGTCAACTGCCACCAGAAGGTGGGCCGCCAGCACCCATCACTCACTTTTACACAGAGAAAAATGAATGGGTACTCTCCATCATTCTCCCCTTTCAAGTAATTTCCGTTAACCTCTCATAATTTTCAGCATTTTTCCCCCCTCCTGGTCCTAATGTCCCCTGAACCTCTTTTATAATTTCCTATGTCATCCCTCCCTGTGCTCCCAGCCCCCTGCCCTAAAGTCCCCCATCACCTCTTCTAATCTCCCACGTCCCCCTCCCCCAGACGAGCGGCGTCCCCCACCAGGCCCACGGCGCCCTCGTCACCAACGTCGAATTCCTCGCCGACGACGCGCGCCTCGTCTCCGTGGGCGGCCGCGACGCTGCCATCATGACGTGGCAGCTCGTCCAGCACTGACGTGGCGGCGTCCACTACGTCGCCTCCACGTCGCCTGGCGTTCATGCGTCACCATAACAGCTGGTAACGTGTAAAATCAACAGCTGGTGGCTGGTGACGTGTAAAATCAACAGCTGGTGGCTGGTGACGTGTATAATCAAGAGCTGGTGACGTGTCCAATAACCAGCTGACAACGTACGGGTTCGTCATGAGTCTCGGCAATACAGTATCTTGCCACTTAATTAACTAGCTTTAGATCATCCCACAACAAATGCTTAGTCGTTACTAGCGTTTATTATTAAGGCTCAACATTAACAAAATTCAAGTACCGCCCAGGCTTCTGTCCAGGAGTCGCTACACTTAGCACATTGAGTTATTCTGGGTCTGTTTGATCACCCGATCAAAATCAGCTTACGGTCTGAATATCTTTTCTTACTTTATAGCGTCTTCAGGGTATGATAAATATGTATGAGAGTATGACAAGTGTTGGCCTGTTCGAGTGTTACCGAGCTTGCAAGCTGCTCAGAGGCTGCTTTTCAAGCCCGGCCGGGCGGATATTAGCGGCTGATTTACGTACTCCCCGAGCCTGGGGCGGCGCCTGATTTACGTACTCCCCGAGTCTGGGGCGGCGCCTGATGCCGAGAGGGCCCGCATCCAAATTTTTAATGGAAAGTAATTTGATTACATGTTATTATGAAAGAAAAGTTGAATGAAGAATACAAGCATTCCTCGCAAGTTTTGCTCGCCAGCGATTCTCGTTTAAGAAAAATTAATATGGCAATACAGTTTGAGTTTTTACGCAATTGAATTTTTATTTTATTTTAAATCTAGACAATTGAGTTGTTTATACATTATCCATCTTTATTTTATCACTCATTCGAAAATAATGAGTATAAAACGCTGAGTATGATAGTAAAACGTATAACATGTATTAGCATTGTGCAATTAAATATTACTAAACTGGAGACAATTGAAAAGTAATGTATTTTTCTATAAAGCTTATAATGAGCTGCAATATACTTATCCCGAGGGCTGTCTGGTACTGCGGCGCTTTTTATTAAAGATGCGTAAATTAACAATAACTTTAAAGGGAAATTAAAACGTAAGTATTCAAATTGTTCATAATTCGGGAAATTAATTTCAAAAATATTTTTTGCTTCAGCCCAAAGCCATCTATTAATATTCATCATTAATCAAGATGTACAGTGCATAATTATGTTGATGTTTGGTTCACATTTACAATATTTCTGGCGCCGGTAATTTATATAATGAAAGATTGGTTTTAAATTAGAGTTTAGCATGCATGTACCCTCAATGTACTTTAAAATTTGAACTCCATTGCCATGTTTGGGGAGTCTTTTTTCCTGCCTCGTCCATATTATTCATTGTCTGGAAAATATTGCACGTTTTTCTAATTAACTTTCGCCTACACCTTCACTCAGTAAATTAATTGGGTCACTTTGTCCAAATAGTGAATCATTCGCTATTTGAGGAAAGTCACTCTCATTTCTGCGAGTGTTATTAGGAAATATTGTTGCTTTCTCAAATGTTCGCTGAATTCATCGAATTACTTTTTCCATAGAATCGATGGAGTTATTTTACTACATGCATCGCGTATCATTCCTTCGATTGGATCACCGTATCATTTCTTCATTATTCATTTTTAACAAAGTTTGTGTACATATTCTGTATAAATTAACTGCAGTCCATGGTTGCGTTCAGCTTCTATTCGCCAAGATCGGAGCAGCAGTTGCGCGTTCAAAACCTGCAACTAGATGTGGAAATTTTGGTCGAAACCGGCGCGGTAGCCGGGTGGTTATTTTTATTATATTCATAATAGCTTCTAGAGTCTAGGTCTGCCTACCTTCTATAAGATTTTACTTGTAGTCTATTAATTAGTTTGACTAGAGGTTAGTATTGTACTAGTGATAGTGTTTAGTCATCGTAGGTCACGGTGGAGGCGAGACTGGTCAGTCATTGTAGAGTTACTTAGTTTCACGACTGATAAATTCAGATACAGGCTGGTTGTAACGGGTGTGTGGTACCATGTTGGGTGTAATGGGTGTATGGGTACCATCCTGGGTGTGTGGGTACCATGCTGGGTGCAACGGGTGGTGGTACCATGCTGGGTGTAATGGGAGAGGTCCCTTCTGTGTCCATGTGTGCAACTAGACGATGAATCTTACTCATTGGCTATTTACTTTAGCAACACATTTTATTAAAATTTAACTGAGCAACTTATTATGAGTGAAATTTTCATTTCGGAAACTCCCGGTTTTGCATTCTCGACTCGTCTACCATCTGACAAATTTTAGACCTGCGCTACGGCAAACTTCCTTCTCTTTTGACCCACTTATTTTGTTCTCTCCTCATTTTTTGGCCCGCACTTTTTTTACGTTCGGAACGCTGGACTTTTTATAGAAAGGTTGAAGTTTTCACAATTTCCCAAGAGTTTCGATTAGTTAAAATTTGTTATTCGTATTACGTAAAAAAAATTTATTTCTTTAGTTTTATGATGTGCTATAATAAATGTTTTAATTGTAGGATTTTATTCATGCTGGAAATTTTGTGCATTCGTAGTCACAATATTTCTGTCATTGATGTACATCATTTTAACTTGCAAAATTGCAATTTGCTTCACTGACTTCATAAATAATGAACGTTCCTACCTCAATGTATCTGCAATATACCTGAAGTCCAAATAATGTAAGTGGAACTAACCTTGTTTCCCTTGCCTAATAGATATCTTATTACTCTGAGTGTAGAACCGAGAGCGTTGGCTAAATCGAAAAATATTGTGAATTAATTAATTTGATTATGTATATATAAATGGTGCTTAATCGTGTCTATTTTATAGCTTTAAATTTATTAATTTCTTTAATATTTGATATCTTGCCAACGCGTTCAACTGCAGGCGTGGCTGACAAGTCTCGTATTAATGTTGCGGTTGCCTCGTGTGGCGCGTGTATGAAGCGCATACATTTATATAAGGGGGGTACGCATTCAAATATTATAATGCCTTAAATGCGGGCAAGATATATACACTATATTTCGCCCTCTTGCACATCTCATATTGAAGCTACATATTCAATATTGATAATGGATCGAAATATTTAATTATACGGCCATGAATTTGAAGTCATCAACGGGAAATAATTGTTTTAATTAACATCCATAGATTTCCAACAAATAATTTTTTATTTCTTCGTAACTCAAAATTCGTCATATTTTCCACCAACTCGCGCTCCACCTACCCTCTCTTCACGTACCTGATGTAGGAAAACTATTCTTCTCTTCACCGGCTCCTCTCCTGCCAGTCTTGCTGGGCCGGTAGAAGCCCAGGATATTTCACTCTCTAATTAAAAGCCCTGTGGGGCCAAGCGAAATAAACCTCAACGCGTTCCTGGGCCTCCAATTATCCAGACTACTGACTAAGGGCACCTACACAGTGAAAGCATGTTGCCAGCGTGCTGGTTACCTGCTCCAACCTGCCAAAAGAGTGAACATAGGATAATAATGTTAAGTGTTCACAGTGAAAACCTGTACGAATAGGCCAGCGTCAGGCCTATTTATTTTAGTTTCAGGCGCCAGCCTCAGCAGGTAACCAGCACGCTGGCAACCTGCTTTCGCTGTGTGGGTACCCTAAGATTATGTATCCTCGCTTGAATATCGGGACGTCCCCAAACAGTGGGGGACTTTTACTCCCAACTCGCGCCTGCTTTCCCTCTTCTTCAGGGATGTGATGGGAGGAGGAGGGTTCATTTTCAACCTCTTTCCCTTCAGCTAATATATTTTTTTTCAGCTAATATTTTTAATATGAATTTGAAGTCATCAACGGGAAATAATTGTTTTAATTAACATCCATAGATTTCCAACAAATAATTTTTTATTTCTTCGTAACTCAAAATTCGCATATTTTCCATCAACTAAGTTTTCCCTTCGCGCTCCACCTGCTCTCTCTCTTCACGTAGCTGATGTAGGAAGACTCTTCTTCTCTTCACCGGCTCCTCTCCTGCCAGTCTTGCTGGGCCGGTGGAAGCCCAGGATATTTCACTCTCTAATTAAAAGCCCTGTGAGGCCCAGCTAAATAAACCTCAACGCGTGCTGGGCCACCAATTATCCAGCTACTGACTAAGGGTACGCACACAGTGCAAGCAGGTTGCCAGCGTGCTGGTTACCTGCGGAGGCTGGCGCCTGAAATTGAAATAAATAGGCCTGGCGCTGGCCTATTCGTACAGGTTTTCACTGTGAACACTTACATTATTATCCTATGTTCATCTTGTGGCAGGTTGGAGCAGGTAACCTGCACGCGGGCAACCTGCTTTCAGTGTGGGTACCCTAAGGTTATGTATCCTCGCTTGAGTATCGCGAGGTAACCCAAACGGCAGGGGACTTAACCTCACAACTCGCGTCTTCATTCCCTCTTCTTCAGGGATGTGATGGGAGGAGGAGGGTTCATTTTCAACCTCTTTCCCTTCAGCTAATATATTTTTTTTCAGCTAATATTTTTAAGAGCCAAAGGGAGAGTTAATTCCTCACATAATCCTCAGCCCACTCCTTCCCCATGACCCACTTGAAGCAGGAAAGTGGGTATATTGTTTCCGTGCCTTAGAGTTGTCACCCGCACAAATGAATGTTAATTTCTCTTCTACAGTTTGTACGATACATTGGAAGTATAAATGTTTTGCATGTTTAATATGCGTGTACAATTTGAACGTTGGAGTTACTATTATTTCGTTAACACCAAATTGATAAACTGCTGAGAAATGTACCACCCTCAGTCAATTAATAGGTCTGTGTGCCCAAATAATTATATTATAATACTTATCTTCCACTCGTAGCGCGAATCTGTCAGGTTGATTCACAATGGCCAAAAGTGTTTCTAGAATTATTATAACAAAATCTCGTAAATTTCTCGGAATGTTTCATGTGAAAAAATAAGCGCTGTGTTGACACATGCGTGCAGGCAGCCAACGCACAGCCAAATAATGTAGTGTATGTGTTCTTAATTTGGCGGTAGCTATACAATACACATCGTAATAAACTTGTACCTGTATTATTGTGGTATCAATTGCCCCAAAATTATTCACTTTATTGGTACTTGTAGTTAACCCATCTCCTGTAACTGAACGGTTCCTCAAAATAGGCGTTTATTAAGGATGATATCAATTTGAATATTTAAGAGATCGCTTTATTTTACCGTTCCAACTCAAGATTATTACTTAAGTTGGTCGCTTAAGTGATAGGCCTGCACGCTACAATTTTGATCGTGTCGTCCATTCCGACTAGTCGGCACCGTCCATGCCGTCCTCGTCGTCTACTTGGCACCGTCCATGCCGTCCTCGTCGTCTAGTCGGCGGCGTCCATGCCGTCCTCGTCGTCTAGTCGGCACCGTCCATGCCGTCCTCGTCGTCTACTTGGCACCGTCCATGTCGTCCTCGTCGTCTACTTGGCACCGTCCATGTCGTCCTCGTCGTCTCCGTCCATGCCGTCCTCGTCGTCTAGTCGGCGCCGTCCATGCCGTCCTCGTCGTCTAGTCGGCACCGTCCATGCCGTCCTCGTCGCCGTCCATGTCGTCCTCGTCGTCCAGGGGGCGGTCAGGGGGGCGCTCGTAGGCCCTGTCGAGAGCGGACACCACGACGCCGTCCCACACGGACATCTCCGTCGCGATGCCTGCACACAACATCAGTTACAATGTTATCAACAACTCATCAACAACAACAACATATTGTCGATAATTCAACATGAATAACTAAGAAACATAATAACGACATAAATAACGAGCCCTAAACACCGACATCTCCATCGCGATGCCTGCACACAACATCAGTTACAATGTTGTCAACAACATAAAACATTGTCGACAACTCAACATTAATAACCAAGAAACATAGCTAGAAATAAATAACTGATCTTAAATAACAAAATAACACAACATCAGTAACAATGTTATCAACAACTTAAAATATTGTCGATAACTCAACATGAATAACTAAGAATGATAATAACTGGACATAAATAACGAGCCCTAAATAACTGATCTTAAATAAAAAAAATATCGAACAGTAAATGACTGAAAATTATCAACAAAGGCAATAAAAAGTTAACAAGTGAAGATTAATAACGAATGTAACGAAAAGGAAGTAACTGAACAGATAACAACAATGAGAAACCAACCACAAAATAATTAAACATAAAATGAAGCGAAAACGATAAGGAAAACTATAAGGAAGAAAAAACCAATAACAAATAACTTACAATAACACTTCTGTTATTGCAAGTTATTAGAAAACGAACTGCAAATTTCACTGAATACGTTGATAACAAATTGTAAGTGTAACTATATCGAATATAGTGAATTATCACTTGAATTAATATGATATATATTCAAGCTTATATGTAGACTAAATGTTCCTTTATATAGAGTTTACTCAGAGCCAAGAACAACCGGACTGTGTCAAGAGCTGCAGAGATAACGAGTGAGATAAGACGCTGCATTTATTATCATGGCTCTAATATTATGATCTGACTCATTATTTTCGAACGTGATCATGGTGCGTGTGTTGGATGGTGCAATAATAAAGCAATAAAAATTTAATGGTGAGTCATTAATAACGTCGCGGCTTCAAAAAGTTGAATGGCAAAGGAAATTCTATGGGAAAAATATGATGCCAATGCACCAGAACAATCCTGTATTAATATTTTTATTATTTTATAATATAACTTCTTCTCATATAGGCCTTTAAATTAATGGTACAAACGCGGGGCGCTGTTTCAAAAGCAACAACCGTTCATGCATCATGGCAACTAACGAAATCGAGATCAGGTCAAACAAAAAATTCATGGTGAAGCTTGGGTGGAATAACAGCCAAATCACTGAATCTCTGGAACAAGTTCATGATGACAGTGCCTAAAATAAATCAGCAATCTACAAATGGATTAGTCGTCCCAGAAGCGAAAGAAATGAGACCAGAGATGTCCCCTGCAGAACCAGGCCACGCACATCAGTGTGTGGGGAATACATTGATGCTGCTCGTGATCTTATTGACAAAGATATTCGAATAACTACCTAATCAGTAGCAGACAACCGCAACATCTCCGTGGGTTGCGCACACACAATTTTCGTAGGCAGTTCGGCAGTGAGCAAGAAAGCCTTCCGCTCGATGGGTTTGAAGGCTGTCGCGCCCCAGATCTTTTTAAGGAAATTTTGAACAAGTGGTTTGAAAACCCTGAACTTTTTCTTACGCGGATTGTGAGCGGGGATGAAACATAACTCTACCAGTACAATTCCGAAGACATAACTCAATCGAAGCAGTGACTGCCTTGGGGTTGAAGTGGAGAAGATCTCTCAGTGAAGATCTGAGATCTTTCTCAGTGAAGATCTGAGAAAAATCTGAGCGTTTAAGAGGGAAGGTTACGGTCACTGTTTTCTGGGATGCAGAGAGGATCTTGTAGGTTGATTTCCTACAGGACAAGAAAATACTATTACGGCTATTTACGGTGAAGAGATTTTGTGAGAAATTTAGAAAAAATCGCCAAAAACGCCATGGAAGAAGCATAGGAGCATCGGCGCGCCCTCTTCAACCGCGACAATAGACTATCGCACTGCGCTCGGCAAACGAGGGCTGAGCTACGCCGAATTTCTAAGGGAAATCATTCGTCATCCATCTTATAGACACGACTTAGCCTCATCTGACTTATTTTCATTAGCAAACCTGAAAAATTAATTGGAAGTTACTCAGCTTTTCTCAGATGAAGCAGTAATAAGAACTGCCGTAACATGGTTCAAATCGATGACTCTCAATTCTACGCAGATGGACTTAATGGCTTTTATCAGCGTCTACTGAAATATATTGACCGAGATATAGCATATGTTTAAACATAAACCTTACTCTTAGACCATTTTTTTCAAACCGTTGCTTTTCCACGAACTTTTTGAAGCATCCTCGTAGATTACCAGAGTATCAAAAAGTTATGGTAACACTATTACTTACTGGAGTAACCGTATGCGTAATGATAAGCAGTACATTAAATGACCAGAGGTAATGGTAACACTATTACTCACTGGAGTAACCGCATGGGTAATGGTAAGCAGTACATTAAATGACCAGGGCCATACTTTCAAAAAAAGTTAAGAGATCGTAAGTTCATCAGCCAATCATTGACGGCCTTTCAAGCAAAATCCACCAATCATAGACAAGAAAATAGAGCGTAAGTACTAAAGTTGAATGGCAAAGGAAATTCTATGGGAAAAATATGATGCCAAAGACACGACTTAGCCTCATCCGACTTATTTTTATTAGCAAACCTGAAAAATTCATTGGAAGTCACCCAGATTTCCGCAGTTGAAGCAGTAAAAGAAGCTGCCCAAACATGGTTCAAATCGCACGACTCTCAATTCTACACAGATATACTTAATGGCTTGTATCAGCGTCTACAGAAATATATTGACCGAGATAGAGCATATGTTGAAACATAAACCTTACTCTTAGACCATTTTTTTCAAACCATTGCTTTTCCACGAACTTTTTCAAGCATCCTCGTAGATTACCAGAGTATCAAAAAGTTATGGTAACACTATTACTTACTGGAGTAACCGTATGCGTAATGATAAGCAGTACATTTTGTGATCATAGGTAATGGTAGTGCAATTACCTACTCACTGGAGTTACCCTGGACCAGCTTGTTAAAGAGGTAATATAACAATGGTAACACTAAATGGTAACACAACTACTCACTGGAGTTACCCTCGAGGCCCAGGACCTGCTTGTAGCCGCCGTGGGCCAGGGCCCTTAGCAGCGTCTGTGCCGTGAGGCACACCACGTCCTGCTGCTCCAGCGACATCGCCGTGTGCACACGGATGTTCGCGCCCTCACACGGGTCCGTGATGCCTGTGTTATTCATACCGGTCAATACGGGGCACCGCTAGGCATACATGTGCGACATTCATACAGATAAATACGGGGCAGTGAAAAGTCCGACATTCATGCGGTGAATACGGGGCAGTAAAAACTCAGTTACTGCGATATTTATACGGTGAATACGGATCAGTGAAGATTGAAACATTCATATGGTTAATTGTGTCACAGTTATTTGTACAATTTGACTCAAGCTTATTAAAACATTCATACGGGTACGAGTTTTGTTATACACGGTCATCTCCGGAGCAGTTGCTCTGGAAGATGTATAAGTTGTTTTAGTCTTAGTTTTATTTATAGCAATTCATCGTCAATTTTGTCAAAGGCTTTCGCTAGATCCAAATTCTGCTAAGTATTGGAGCACTACCCAAAGCCATGCCGATGCACCACCCTCGACGGCTACCAAGCGCCGCTCTCAAAAGACACCAGGAAATGAGCTGAGCTGCCTCAGGCTCGAACCCACGACTCACTCCTTCATTTTCGGTGCCGCCATCATTGCGGTACAGTGTAACATACATAATCGACAGACACACTCTAACACTAACACTAACACAGCACTCGCTCAACACAACACACACCAACATAACACACGCCAACACAACACACGCCAACACAACACACGCCAACACAACACACGCCAACACAACACACGCCAACACAACACACACCAACACAACACACGCCAACACAACACACACCAACACAACACACGCCAACACAACACACACCAAC